GGCTTTGCGGAGGGCCGGGAGGGTAGTAAGGGTCCGGATCTCCACGGGGAGGTCATTCCATATTGCTACTGGTTGCTGGTTGCAATAGTCATGCTTTTATTTTGTATTTTTATAAGTCTCTTTTCCGAGTGTACTCTTTCTTAAAGGAACAGCTAAAATCATTTTTGAAGTATTTTTGAATATTGAAAAAGGCAATGCTGTGTTATAAATTAATCCTTAAGTGAATTACATTGGCTTGTTATCCTTATTTTTTTTTTAAAGCTTCAATATTCTTGGGGAGAGTGGAAAATGATATGGCAGGATGAAAAGGTTAAAGATCTTTAAAACAGGCCACTTTCCACATGACTTATCCTTTTAGCTGATTGTGTATTTTTACAGGCTTTGATGTTTGAAGGTTGGTCATTCTATCAGGAAAACTCAGTGAACCTTGCTCCCATCATCCATGCTGAAATGACTATGTATAGAAAATGCCAACAGTTACTTTCCTTTATCATCTAGCAACCTGCCTATTCATCCTTCCTTTGCAACCTTCTTTTTTTAAATAGGTTTTAGTAATAGAATAATGTTTAAAGCCAAAATATTTTTAAACGGAAGTGTTAAAATATTTTCTCACCCACACTTCATTTCTATCGATCGAGTAATTTTAAAGTTGCTGATGCATCGCTTTCTCAAAGTCATTATAAAAAAAAAAAAACTATTTTGCAGCCTAAAGAAGGCAAGATTAAACTTTACACACATTGTTACCATATTCCATTTTTCCTGAATTGTGAATTTCCCACGCCAGTTTTTAATTTAATTTCCTCAGAAAGTTCTGAATGCCTAAGATAACTTTAAAAGATTTGCGTAATGTTAAAAGATACAAGTAAACCATCCTGGAGGCCAGTAGCATACCTTTTAGTCTTGCATCAGGTGCCAAGAAAGAATAGGGTTTTTTTCCCCCCAAAGATGTTGCAACAAATGGCCCGTTTGTTATCTCTTCCCCATCCCCTACCTCACTTCAAACAACAAATCTAGTTCATTATGTTCCCCTCCCGCCAGCTGAAGGTATCAATTTTCTCTGAAGGTGTTACTTTCCCACTGCTGGAAGTGCTTCCCGACTTATCAAAGCATATTAATGTTATATTATAATGATTCTGCAGCTCCAAAGTGACACCGAGAGGCTAATCCTCCTCCACAGCTCTCCGTTTTAAATGTATCATGATTTCAGGATGCAGCACAATGCTCTAAAAGACAATATTGGGTGAAGTTAACTTTAGCCAAATCAAGGGCAATGACATTTGTCCTTGTGCATCTGTAGGGTATCGACACACTTGTATTTTTGTTAATGTCTTGCAGTCATTTTATGACTGAACCAAACACTCCCACTTCCCCTTAGCAGTAGAATTGGGATCAACAATGGGAAATAAATGTTCATTGGAAAGGAAACAAACCTTTGTGTTCATTGTGAGTTCTGTTTCTTTGCTCTTCTCCCGCATGCTTATTTTTTTTATTTTTTTACAAAGCTTTCTATTTTGCCAGTGTCTACTGTTGCTAATCTTTGCAGTCATTGACATTGTCCTCTACGTTATTCTCCCTTGAATAATTCTTTTCTACATGGCATTGAAGGTAAAGCATTTTTAATTTGAAAGATGGAAACGTATTGAAATAATATTTGTTTTAAAAATGCTGACATTAATACCATTTATTTTTTTTAAAAAATTCTTACGTTTCAGAGAATACAGAACTAGATTCACCAGCGAAGAAACCCTCATGTTCTGCATGAGAGTAATGGTTGGGGTAATTATTCTCTACGACCATGTTCATCCAGTGGGAGCTTTCTCAAAGGCTTCAAAAATAGATGTAAGAATAATGATCATCAAAGTTTTCTTATTCCTAGCAAAAATTCACAGATCTTGTGGAAAAAGACGATTATGTTGGGTTCAGCGATGCTTTAAAACATATCGTATTTGTATGGCAAAGAGAAAAAAACTTTACGCTGGATACTTTCTCTTAAAAATACTTGATTAAAATCTCTACACTGAACATGTAGGAATGCAAGAATTTCAAAACAGTTTACAGTACCAAATAAAACCCAGGGAAATGTTGCGTTAACACACAAAAAAAGAAGCCGAAAATTGAAAACTCGCTAGTATTCCATATCAGGGGGAAATAATTCTCAATGATTTCCTGAAGACAATCTGCACTTTATCCAAATGTTAACATTTTGGATAATTAATTACTCAGTGTAAAAGTCTCTGCAATAATAAAATTACAATAAAAGCAAATGATAAAATTTAAAGCAGCTGTAAAACCCAGCCAAGCCGAGCTATACACCAGAAACATGTTTAAATGCCTTGGGTTAAAAGGATTACCGAACTAGCGCAGGGCCCCTCAGTGGCAATCTCTGTACACAGATTTACAATTTAAAACGATGCATCTCAGAGAGAAATGGGGATAAAGAGGGAAATGAGCTGCCTCAGTTATATGTTTTATGCTGCTTATAAAGTGGATCGGAAACGGAGTTGATACCTTCAGATAATATAGTTCCGCTGCTTTTCCTTGTAGAGCATTTGGCCTATGTATGCTGTTGGGAACGAGAGGCAAGTTCTTAGTTCTTTCAGTAACTCCAGCAGCTAATAAAGATAATACTTTGTCACTTGCTACCTCAGCTGCTTTTTCTCTCCTCGGCGGTGGAAGATTCCCCCAGGCCAGCCGATAAGAGGAGCCATCCGCTTTTTGGAGCCCAAGGCTGTACTGGGAATTTTAGGTTCAGAGTTTACCATCAGCGTTTTGAAAAGGGGAGACTTGGGGACAAGGGAGAAAGTTGAGGAGCGTTTCCCAGTGCGACGTTTCCTTTGTCACACTTTTCTTTCTACATTGCTAACATTTCAAATGCGCACGCATGCCTCTGTCCCCACCATTCTAACTCCTCAAAGCAATATTGAGAGATAAAAATGCTGGGTAAACCCCCTGTTGCAGAAACTAAAGATAAGAGGCCTGGAAGATAGTGGCAGCAGCGCTCCCTGGATAAAAGTATGGTTGGAATCGTTTGTGGAATTTCAGCTCTGCCTAATAGCGCTAAGCAGCATTCAAAACTATGTGGAGACTTTGAGGCATGGATTCAGGGACATCATGTCATTGTATTTATAAAAATCGTTATCATCTTGTTGGAAAATGAATGAGATGCTTGGCATAATTGAAGCATAATTTGCTGAGAGAGTCCTCTCTTACAAAGACCTGATTTGAAGGCTCTCTGGGTATGATGGGCAGAGCAAATTAGTTCCTGTTTGTTTTTTGTCCCATGAGTCTGGCAGAGCAGGCAGGGGTGTCAAACCCGTGGTGTCACGGCGGTAGTGGTCGGATTCAGCCAGTTCGCACATATTCGGGAGAACCGGTTTTTAACTTTCTAAGCAGTTCAGAGAACCGGTTGTTGG